TGTGGTAGCGTACGCATCGCGTAGCTAATAAGACGATCGTCTTTTAACTTTAACGCGCGCGCCGCAAATATCTAGCATATTCTCTTATTTTAAGAGGCTAATAGTAGAATTTACTGTAGAGGAATTTACTCTTGATTATAGCTTACGCATCCACTCATTTATAAAGTAATACGTATTACTTAAAGAAGGATATTCTTCATGTAAGATTTTTTGCTTAGAGGAACTGCTAAGAGGAATTCCCCACTTATCGGCAGAATATTTTTTTTTGGGTGAAGCATGTCTGAATCTTAAGTTCCATTTACTTAAATCTAAGTTGCATATTTCATATCTCATTGCATACGTAACACACATACAGCATTTGGACTTAAATGCTATTGGTCGACTACTGCGCATCCTGATGTTGCTTTATCTTGTATTTTTATATCATGACAGTAATAGCGCGAAGCGCGCGTCTGTGATCTCTAGTTATTTAAATAATCAATGAGTTGATTTGTTGACTTCTTGATATTCCTTAGGACTTCATTATTATTTAAGCTGTTCTCAAGATAATTAATTGTGTGAATTTCTAATAATTTTGCGGAAATCCTGAATAGTTTACTTATCAGTTTTTTACTATTTCCTTTTATTTTCGTTGGTTTTATCAAATTATTATGAATGCATTTATAAGGATCAGAGCATTTATCAAATATGTAGTCTTTAATATTTAGTTGATTAAGTTGATTTTTATTGCAACATGCCTTTTACAGTAAAATTCATTATATTTAAGTAGAAATCTGCAGTCGTCATCTATTATCTATTATCTACTATATAAAAAATTTTAATAATCTTGACAAGTATATATTTTTTTGAATATTTTACATTAGCGATAATAAAATACATAAGATAATAAAATACATATCTACTAAAACAATAAAACACATAATTGTAAGTCATATGTAATCTAACTATAAAAGCTCGAAATATTAAATAAAACTTATTCAGAAATCATTCTAATTATAAAATAAAAAGATATGAAAAAGATATATAATATTTATCGATATTTCATTAATGTTATAATAAAGCTCCCTCATAGAAAGATTTAAAACGTCAAGAGAAAAATAATAATGATTGTGTTCGTCAAAATATAGTTATATGTTGAATTTTTTGACAATACTTGATATATTGTCGATTTCATCTCTATCTTTCGGAATGAATACGGTTTTACGTTTGTTTCAGAAAGTTTCTCCTGCATAAATTAATGTATTTTTAAATTATGAAAAAGTTTATTTTAAATATGTATGTTGTTATGTAATCATTGGGGAGATATTTTAAAATATACATTTTTTTATGTAGATATAAAAGCACTAACCATTGGCTTTTTCTAATAAATGGTTTCACAGCTGGAATCGGGAATCCATTGAACGTATTGGAAAGAACTAACGTGTAAGCGCCCATATTTGACCAAACTACCCAATCGCCTATATAAAACTCAGGCAATAGAACATCCTTAAGTATTAAATCGGCAGGGTCGGTAGTTGGTCCCCATATATCCGAAAGAAATATGCAAAAAGAGCGTTACAAAAAATATGATTCTCAAGATTAATGTGTCATTTATACTTATGCAGCTAATTTCTTATTTAATAACTATAACATATAATCTATTATAATCAAATTTTTCAAAATGTCTCATTAGTTTTGCTTTTCTTTTATATGCAGAATTGAAATTATTTGATTTAAAATAAATAATAATAAAAGTAACAAAAGAGAATTGTTGGTTAAAGAAGGGTAAATTGAGCAGTTGGTTAAATATCTAATTATTATTACTTTCTATTACAAAGCTGGCTGTGCCAAAATACATGAAAATTTATAGTTATTAATAAAACTGTTTATTTGATTCTGTTCCTTTAAATGGTTAGCGAAGATTCGTGTATACATAGTTCATACTCAACCATTGTATTTACTCTCAACCAGTTTATAACTTAAAGGGACAGATTTTGAGGGACATATAATTAAATCTATAATACACTTAGCTCCATTTTTGGAACAGCTTTAAATTTTGTTAAGGATTTATTCATTAAATTACTCTCGTCAATAAATTATATTGTTTAATGGATTTTTGAAAATAAAACAGGCTCCTACATCGAGTCAATTTGCGCTTTAAAGTCGTCCCTGGAAAACATTAATAATGTAATTTATACAAGCTAACTGATATTGTATAAAAGAACAATAGTGATGTTATAAACTCTGTATATCTCATTTCATTTTTAATATACCATTGACTCTTCCTAATAATTGGAATCACAGTTGGTATTGGGTACCCGTTGAACGTACAGGATATGGATAGTGTATAAGCACCCATTTCTTTCCAAATTAACCAATCACCTAT